GCAGTTACAAAAACAATTGTGTATCCAGGGATAGTGATTGATTCTTAACTGCATGTAATCCTTTCACATATGATCACATGCAGTGTGCAGGCGTTTACATGCAGCAGCTGTCACCCGATCATTAATTTGAACCGGTTACAGTTGCCGCTTGCAACTTGTGCATACATTAAAACTGGTACCGTATATAGCAGCGGCCCCCACGGGACTAAAACATTTGTCCAGTGGCCCCTGACTAAATTGAGTTTGAGACCCCTGCTTTAAAGTGTATCTAAAAAAAATGTTTTTGTTAGTTTGTGGGTAGTGGTAAGGGGTTAGAACCTCTGTAAGGTTGTAAGGTTTTAATTGCTGTCTATATCCCCATTAGAAATATTTACTTTTATGGTTTGTTCTGGTGACCAATGTCATTGGAATTAAAATAAGGAAATGTAAGATTTTGAGTTGCCACCAGAACAGAAGTGATTGATTCTTAACTGCATGTAATCCTTTCACATATGATCACATGCAGTGTGCAGGCGTTTACATGCAGCAGCTGTCACCCGATCATTAATTTGAACCGGTTACAGTTGCCGCTTGCAACTTGTGCATACATTAAAACTGGTACCGTATATAGCAGCGGCCCCCACGGGACTAAAACATTTGTCCAGTGGCCCCTGACTAAATTGAGTTTGAGACCCCTGCTTTAAAGTGTATCTAAAAAAAATGTTTTTGTTAGTTTGTGGGTAGTGGTAAGGGGTTAGAACCTCTGTAAGGTTGTAAGGTTTTAATTGCTGTCTATATCCCCATTAGAAATATTTACTTTTATGGTTTGTTCTGGTGACCAATGTCATTGGAATTAAAATAAGGAAATGTAAGATTTTGAGTTGCCACCAGAACAGAAAAGGAGGTCTTTCAATATGGACATTTATTCCAGCAACGACTGCCTAAGATAGAATTTCCTTCACTTTGGTAAACCATTACCTACTCTAAAAAAAACCAAAAGGTTTTGACTTTAGGTATTCTTTAAAGCAGACCTTTAGCCCTTTTCACTAAAAATCACATAAGTATGCAGCTCTGCATGCTGACTTGAAATCATCTTACAGTCATTAGTTTTTCCACTTCCTGGTTCTATTCGGCATTAGTGATGCAGTCCATACCTTACAGTACATTACTAGGAAATCTCATCTGTAAACTGCTAAATCTCACGAGATCTCAGGGGAAAGGCATTTTTTCCCCTTAGATGATGTACATGGTCACATGACCTAGTCACATGTGCCAGAGTTCCAGGAAGTAAAGGGAGATGGATTAATCTGACCTTAGTAAAAATGGCCACTGTGAGAAGAAAGCGGAGGATAAGAAAAATAAGGTATGCAAAGAGTACAAAGCCTGCAATTATCTAGACGTATCTGTTTATAGATTGTCATTAATAAACATTTCTAAAGGTGTCTTTGTTGTTATTTTTAAGATCTGGGTAAAGTTACCAAGTGCGTTTATGTATATCTTAAGAGATTGATTTGATCAATACAATGTAACTTTTAATGTTGTAATCTATCTTAACATATTACTCATTCTTTTCAGGGCAGGCACAGCTCTAATTTGGTAGCAGATATTAGACATGTGCAATTCGTTTCGTTCCGAATCGAAATTCGGACGAATTTTCGGAAATTCGGACATTCGGATGTATCCGAATTCCGAATTACAGACATAACGAATGCAAACGAATCCGAATTTCCATTTCCGAAATTCGGTTGCGTTAGTACGAACGTTCGTTTCGTTTTCTGTTCTTATTCGTTTCTTATTCGTTTCGTTCGTTTGCAGCAAAAGTGACATTTGAGGGGGAAAAAATATTTTTCTCCTTCTCTAATGTCACTTTGCTCCAACGAACGAAACGAATAAGAACAGAAAACGAATCGAACGTTCGTACTAACGCTACCGAATTTCGTCCGAATCCGAATTCCGAATCCGAATTGACTTTCACACCCGAATCCTGAAAAACGAAATAACACAAATCCGAATTTAAAACGAAACAAATTTTTTGGCAGTGCACATGTCTAGCAGATATTAACACTTATACCCATCTTTCTCAGGGTAAAATTTAAATTAACCACTTGAAGTCCGCGGTTTTTGGACTTTCTGTCCAGGCCATTTTTCAGTATTCAGCCCTGCGGTACTTTGACATTTATTCAGTCATACAACGCTGTACTGAAATTAATTTTATACCATTTTTGGGGACAGATAGAGCTTTCTTTTGGTGGTATTTATTCACCACTAGGGGTTTTATTTTTTACTATATTAAGGAAAAATTACCGAAAATGAAAAAATAACTGTTTCCCCTATATTAAATAATAAAACATTTATTATTGCCCAATTTTTGGGTAAAATATAAAAGGCGGTGTCACGTCGGGTAATAAGACACCAAATATGTCAACCCATAAAATTGCGTGTGCGCGCGAAACCTTAAAAAACTACAATACCCAAAATTGGCCATAGGCGATGCTTTAAAAGCTTTTATCGCTCATCAGTTCTGTGTTATCAGTGATTGATGGCCCTTGAATTATTGCTCTCACTCCGACGTTCTATGTGCGTAAACTAGGGATGCACAGATACTTTTCGAGTACCAGTGCAGATACTTGGCATTTTCATGAGAACTACCAGGGTTGCAGCGCTTGCAGCTGGGACCTAGCTCTGGCGCTCCACCGCTGTCCTGAAATCATTAGTCTGTATTGTTTTAGAAAAACTGTCACATGACAATAAACAAAAATGTATCAGTACTCGTACTTGTAAGTACTCAGCAAGTATCAGTACTCGTACTCGCAAAACTGGTGCATCCCTTTATTTATATTTATAAAAACAAAATCGTACATTAAAACAGAGATGTACAAATCCCAGGAGCTCTGTGTGGTCAAATGACAGCTGCCTCCTAATTTTTTAATTTTCCTCTAGTCTAGTCTTGGAGCTCAAAAGTATCGGTACATGTACTTGTACTTGTACCGAGTACTGTACTTGGTATCTGTGCAACCCTAGCTTAAACGTAGTGGTGGGGGACTTAAACATTTTTTTGTTTTAAAATATGTGACTTTTATTATTTTTTTTAACTTTTTTAAAAATTTTTTTTACACTTAATGTTATTGCTATTATTGCTATCAAATAGGGGGATAGCAATCCCCCTATATAATAGCAAAGGCACACTGACAGGTCCTCTTTATGGAGACATTAGGGGTTTCTAAGACCCCTAGAGTCACCTGGGGACCCCCAAAGAATCTGATGAAGCAGAGGTCTGCTTCATCAGCTACTTCTCTCTGGCAATAGCAGCTTGACAGGACTGACAGGTGAATGCAGAAGTGATGTATTACACATTACTTCCGCATTCACAGTATGGAGGGAGATCAGCACATGCTGATCTTCCTCCCATACTCCTCCTGACACCCTCCCGAGCAGGTCCCGGGCCGCAGATGGGGTAGCGGATCCTGGGATATGCCGATCGTTTGTATGTCAAACAGCCAGTAACGGCTCTGCTGAGCGTGCAAGTTTTTTCTGCCTGTGCGCGCGCAATAGCAGAGAAAAAAAGCCGTCTATTTACAGCAACCTGCCCATGTGAGTTTGCCGTCCATTTTTTCACAACGGGCGAATGGCAACGGGTTAAGAAGATACAGAAAAAAATATGAAAGAAAATGCATTTCCATGTGATTTTCCCAATTACATGGAAACTGATGGTCTTTTATGCAATGTATAAAAACTATATTTTTTTAATTTTAGGAGAGCTACTTTTCACCTTTCAACTTCACAGTGCAATCTGTTTACGTAGATCTTTAGTGTGACAATAAGATATGATCAAGTCAGGTTTGCATGGACAGAAACTTGTGTTAAACGCACAAGCAATAGGCTACAATGCCATTCAGAGTATTTTTGGGATCTGTAGATGAATAGGAAGATTTTTTTTTCTTGCAATGTTAAAAAAATATCATTTATTTTCTTCATGGTTAGTCTGGATCAGGTTGGAGGGGCCTGAGCTACATTATTTCTTCCACCCCAAACCCATATACTTCTGCAGCAAAAGATCACTTACTTACAGTATAACCGTTATCAATTACCTGCTATTACAGAAGTCATCTATTGCTGCAGGAGCAGGCTAACACTGGATTATCGGTGCTCCAATGAGTATTAGAGGTCACTGTGGCTTTCCAGTATTAAATAAACTTATGTGAACTAAATATCCAATATTTGTTCTTGTCAAATATATTGCATATTTACTCTGTCACCTTCCATGGATTGCTACCTGGCAGTGGTAGTTTCTTTCCCTTTGTAATTCATGTACCGGTGTTCTTAACAATTATGATAGCTTGAAGCTTGAGACATCCATTCAATGTGTATATTGTTAGTGCAGAATTGTCGTTGTTGACACATATCAGCCATATCTCTTCCAGTGTGAATTTGAAAGTTAAAGAAAATTAATTGAACTAAATTAAAGACTATATGGTAGCTGGGGGAATATGGACAACTCAAATATTACAGACAATTTCATATATAAGGCTCACTGTATTTGACCCTAATAAAACTCAAAAAAACTTTACTTAAAACCTTACCTTAAAAAGTGATCTACAAGCTGCACAAGTTTATATAAATAAAACAATAACATTGTCATAAAGGGAATAAAATAAATGTTACAGACAAAAACATACATGCAAATCAATTATTGCATTTATAATACTGTAAGCAACCAGAGCTGTAACATTAGAAAACAAACATTGAAATGGCTCTCTTTCAGCTAGATAAATTATAGTAGCAGAGTGTTGCAGTTGTCATCCATTTGCTTTTATGAATGGTTGTAGCAGCAGACTTGGTTTTCCTAAAATAAAACCAAATGTTGGATCTTGCATCTGCAGTGTACCTGTGGATCAGTTATTCACCTTTTTGGGAGAGGGAGTTTTAAATCCACAGGTTAACCACTTGATATTTTAGCAGTTTAGAACACTACAGACAGAAAGCAGTGGCCTAGACACTGCAGGCTGATCAGATTTCTGAAGACCTTGACTTCGTCTGTTTACTCCGGGGGGGTAGGTTCATATGGAGGTAATAGTATATTCATCTTTTTTCAAAGATCTGCATAGTAATTACTGAAAAACACAAAATTAACCATCATATAATATATTAACTACTTTTTCAAGCATTTAATGTAAAAAAGTAATTGTTACCAAGGTTACACATGTCAATCTAAAGAACAAATGGGAAAATGTCAGAGTTGTCTATATGCTGCAACCAAAAATATTTTACAGTCACATAGTCAATTTTACAAATAGAAAAAACTCCTTTTTACAGGCTGTTGTCAATAGACCATGCCCTCTGTGTCCTAGCTGCATATAATTCACATTCCACCCCTAATGTCAGAACAATGGAGAACAGATAACTAGCTTAATGTGCCCATAGACATTAAAGAGGAACTTTGGCCACCAATTTAATGTTTCCCAAAACAGGTACTTTTAAGGCATGTCAATTGTGAGGGTTGCCAGTATGCTTCTTTCTGCTCTCGACATGAATTTCAAGCCCTCAAATGTCTGGTGTCATAGTTGAGCACATGTACAGCACCATGGCAACTGCAATCCATATAGAGGCTTAGATGGCACCTTCCTTGGCTGTGAGGGATAGGAGGTTGTAGTTTCACTTTATAGCAATTTAGCCAGGATGGAAAATCCATATGAAAACTATTCCAAAGGACAACATCTTACCTTTTGACCTTTGTATATAAGCTCGATTTCCACATGCTTTTATTCTACCGACTTTTTGTAAGTACAGCCTAAAGCTGCGTGTTTTATTATTAAATTACATTTTTACACTATGGAGGCGCCCTTTTTCGTTTTTGTTTCTCAGATTGGCAGTCTATTTGACCTATGGGAGCTGCCTCTTCAGTGTTTCTAATATTTGAGCTGGCCATTTCGCAGTTGGACGCGCCAGTGTCGTTTTTGTTGCTTTGTTTATAACCACTCGGCTGAAAAGAGACCAAAGTTCTGAGCTATAAACGGGAAATGTAAGGTTTATTCTGAAATTATCATATAACTTTTTATATTCCACAGATGTGGTGTGAATTGGATAATGGTAGAGGTTAAAGGGTTATCTTGCTTCATAAATCAGTACCAAATTTCTGTATACTTTTATTAGAAAATGTTCTATAATTTAATATAGGGGAAAGTTGTTTTTAAAAAAATAAATTTTCGGTAATGTTTCCTTAATATAGTAAAAAATAAAACCCCCAGTGGTGATTAAATACCACCAAAAGAAAGCTCTATGTGTCCCTAAAAAATGGTATAAAATTAATTTTAGTACAGCGTTGCATGACGGAATAAAGCGTTTAACGTGGTTACATTCATGATTGATTTTTTCGACCATATTGATGAAAAAAATCAAGGAGCTCGATCAAAAATTTTTCAAGATCAAGAATGAATGAAATTCTAACCGTGAATGTGGTTTTCATTTAAGAAACCCCATTCGTTCCAAAACTGAATGTTAACATCAAACAAAAGTTTTAACAACATTCTACAAATCTCTCATAGCATTATCGAGTGTTCTAATGGAATTTTTTTTCATGAAAGTTCGTTTGAAAATCTGCCAGTGTATGGCCAGCTTTAGTCAGGTTTTATTACCATCGGAGGACACATTGGATATTTTCACTTTCTGTCTGTTAAAAAGGATATCACCTAGAAAGAAAATGAGGAAAACTCTTCTAATAACAGCATTTTCTTAAAAGTAGGGAATAGTAGAACCTATGTCAGATTTTTATTGTTGTGCGTTTCCCTGTTGTAGATTTTCCCTCACTTTTGGTCTGGTAAAAGGATGTTCCCAGAACAGAATGCGAGGGGAAATGTCTCAAAAGCAGTAAAACCCGACAGGCTTCTGCTCATTTTATCTAAAACTAAAAAGCAAAAGTTTGGGGTATAGATACACTTTAAAAACATCACAAACCATTGCTTTAATTGGGGAGTGGCATCTTATGATAGTTAGAGGTGCGTTATTCAGGTCTAAAGTCTGTGGTTAACAGACTTTGTTGGTGGTCAGACAAGCTCTAACAGTGTAGTTAATGAATGCCTTTTGACAATTATTTTTAAAAAAAAAAAGTTTTTTTTTTTGCTATACCCCACTCAGGCCAAAAACAACAATCTATTATTTTTAATAATTATTATCATTAATAATAATATTATTATAAACAATCATTCAATTCAATAGCATAGCAAGGGCATTCCTAACTTGATCTGGAACCCCAGACAGTAGTAGTAAAGCTCCTTGCAATGGCTGACAGCAGGAGACACAGAAAAACATATTGCTACAGGGGAGCACCTAATCCAACTGGCAAATAACTCTGAGCAATGGTTGTAAAAAAATTAAAACAAGTTTGGAAAAAGCCTCAATTGCTCCACATTGAATTTAGTTTAATTAAGTGGCAAATTCTAGGTATTAGTCCCTTATGAGGTTTACCCATCTTGGTATAATTTACTTAGGGTTGTAAGCTTTACATGTTTCTCAAGCATTAACAGATATAAACAGTAAGATATAGCCCACTGATATGGTCAATTTTAAAGTTGTAACTTCTTAAATGTTTAAGCAGTATATATTTCTTTACATGATGGGGTTACATAAACAGACCATGACTCTGACTTACTCTTAATGATCTTAAAGTAAACCATGCATTTGCTCCTGCTGCACATTGCTCCTTCTTTAGGTCACTGTTCTCTAGCAAACCCTAAACAGCAGCTAAGAAAACTCAGACTGGAAATCTGACATTTGAAGGTAAAGCTGAATCTCACTATTTTTCTGGTAACAATGATATCATTCCTACTTTCTCTGTAGGCTGGAACTATTTTTTTTTTTTGCTTTTCGATAAGGTCAACCAATAGAAGAATAAAACAATGCAACTAGTTGAGCACAAGATGAGAAAATTGGACACCATTCAGCACAAAGTATGTAGGCATACCCCCTACCCCCTACACTTCCCATCAGGGCAGAGAGTGATGGGAGAACTCTCTTGCATGGTCAAAGTGTCTGCAATAAAATAAGTTTTCCTGGTGCCTTCATGGCAGCATGCAAACGATAAGCTCTGCCCCTTAGCCCTACCCACAGGACCAGTAAAAATCTATAAAAAGAGAGAGAGACTCCCCCTGCACTCTCTTTTTTTTCCTTTTGTCTATACCTGAGACTAGTTATGTCGTCCCTACCTCTGGGTCATGAAGTGACGCAGGGCTGCCTGGGTTCAGCCTCTCCCAGGTGTGGTCCCGGCTCCTCGGATGCTAAATGCGCCTTTAGGACTGGGAGACCCTTCTGGCAGTTCTTGGGGGTGCGTGGTGTCCTGCATATATCCTGAATAGGATTACAAGCGGTGTGGTGGTGAGCAACAGGGCTATTGTACAGGAGCCCAGATAGGGATCTGTTTCTTGCTTTTTTTTCTTCTTCTTATTGTTAAATCTTTCTTTTGCCTCCTTTTTCCACGGTCCTCACCTCCCGACTTTTGGTGCCTCTCCTGGGTCATCCATGGCTCTACTTCTCAGCATGGAGCTGTGGGGACCCGTCTCTGCAGCTGCCCTGGTCCTCTTAGGTGCGGTGCCCGCTCTTTCCGGCTGTTTTACCGGAGAGTGGGTGATGTTGCTGTGCCCACGCCGTCGCCAATTGCGCATGTGCCGCCCGCAACTGAGGCCACAACCGCCATCTTTGTTATGGGCGAGATTGCCCTTTTTTGCAATTTTAAAGAGGAGGGGGCAGATTTTTTGAGGGGGTTAATTGGGATCCGTATATAGACGAGTGAGGCCGGCATAGCAGTCCTTTGGCCTTCAGAGCCTGGATCTCGTTTATTGCTGTCGCGTATTTCTGGAGTTTTTTCTTCAGCCTTCACTGCAGATCCCTGCCTGATAGTCGCTTCCTTCCTTCGGCAGGAGCCGTTCACCACGATTGCAAGAACAGCCATCCGCTTTAAGGAAGGGACCACCGAACGCGTGAGTAAAAAAAAAAAGAAGAAGAGTGCTTTTTGGCTGATATGTAGGTGGCCGCCGGATGTGGTGAGAGCTGTGGCAACCTCGTGGGCTTCACGGGCCAGGGTTCTGATCGGACCCATTTGCAAGGCGGCTAGTTGGTCCTCCCATCATGCCTTTTTCAGGCTTTACGGGATTGATCCGGGCCTTCTGACGACAGTGGATTTTGGATGACGGACTGTCCAGGCGTCTTTTGCTCAATGGAATGTCTTCTTTGGCATCACTTTTGCCCACCCTGTCAGCTTGTTATTTATTGTTTGTATGCTGCCATGAAGGCACCAGGAAAATGGAAAATTGTATCATACTTACCAGTAATTTTCCTTTCCTGGTGCCAATCGATGGCAGCATACTTCCCACCCTGTTTGTCGACGCACAGTTACAAGAATGCAGGGGGAGTCTCGCTCTCTTTTTTATAGATTGTTACTGGTCCTGTGGTAGGGATAAGGGGCGGAGCTTAAGTGTGATACAATTTTCCGTTTTTGTTTCAGTAAAAAAAAAAGGGAAGCAATAACCCTGTCATGTTTTATTGCTGTCTTCGGTTCACTTAAGTTCAGCCGAACAGCCTCAGAGCATTCGGCTGAGCCAAAGTGAAGAACAGAAAGTGAGCGAGCGCCACCCGCCATACCAGGCCACATGCCCTCGCCATTGGGAGGGTGCTTTTTCAGGGGTCCTCCCTGGAAAAGCACTTTGTCCCCATGCCAATGGTGACGAGGGCCTCTTCCCCACAATCCTGACCTGGTGGTTGTGGGGGGGTCTGCGGTAAAGGGGGATTATTTTACCTCTACTCATTCACTAAAGGGTTAACAAAAAAGTAAATAAAGAGACCAGACTTGTAGAAAAAATACTAATTGAACAAAAAACAGTCAAAGTTTTTAACTAATCCTTTAATTAAAAAAAAAAAAAAACAATGAAAAACAAATATCCTACGAGGTAATCCAAGGTCAATCACGTTGTCCAGTGATATCCACGATGCCGCTGACTCATCGAAATAAAAAAAAAAAAACCCAATGCCCGATGACCCGATGAACTCCCGCCGCAAAATTAAATTGACAGGTGCTGGCCGAATGACAACAAATGGGCAGAGTCAGCCATGATGTCACAGCTGGCTCAACCCATGTGTTGTCAGGTCATTTGAGGACAGTGGCCTGTCACTGCATGACAATAAATCGGCGGAGCCAGCCTTGACATCAAGGATCCCAGAAAATTCATATATTAAAGCGATTAACTGATCCTTCAAACGAACTGGAACAGGTAATTTCCTGGGTACTGAGGTTAAGTCAAAGGAAGCAGGAAGTTACCTGTTCCAGTTAGTTTGAAGGATCGGTTGATGGTTTTTATATATGAATGGCATTTGCTTTCTAGAATCTGTGGTAGTGTTTTTAACCATTTTAATAAAAAAACCTATCTTTGCATACTACACTATTTGCTTGTTATCTTCTCTTGGGAACGGGATTCCTCTCGTGAGCGGCATTGGCCAGAAGTATTCCGTAAAGAGGATTAGTGATGGGTCATGAGCCATTACCCCATCGAGGACGGGAGGAAGATTACTCACCATTATTACTTTATCACCTTATCACCTTATTGACCATTGTTTTTACATGGTCACAGATATCTGGTGAGTGCATTGTATGTCTCACAGGCACCTGGGATCTGGGAGCACTACTGATACAAGGAGGACTTTTCACTTTATATTTATTTGTTTATGCACATCAGCTCTTTGGCTTTATAAACACATGCAAGTTGTGGACTGCATTTATTAGCACTGCAGAAGTTTTAATTAGGAGATTGATGTATGAACATTATTGGCCATATAGTATTTATTTGGCAAAATATCTTTTCATTATTTCACTATTTATCTATTTGTGATACAAATTGTGGATATCTATTGATGTGATTTTACTTATGTATAGGGATTGATATATTTATTAGTGCGGCGCATATCTTCTGATTTTTTTTCTATACCCTATTGAATGGGGTAGAGCTCTGTTGACTTCCATAATTGAATCATGTGCAAGCAAAATACTGTTTTTTTTATTCACTTTGCTCATGATTAGACATGCCTTGCAGAGTATATTTTCACCACATTCACTAAGCTAAGAGAAAATTCCCTTGCAAAGACAAAGTACTTTGCAAGGGAAAAGTACTTGTTACTTTAAAACAAAGTAACAAAATTGCAGCACAATTAAAGTTGCAGGTACCTAGATGTACCTGCCCACACATGAAGTAGCCTCAAAAAGCAGATAGGGCGGAATGCCGGGCCAATCTGACAGGCAAAGCCCAACAGATCTGGGTTCTGTGTTGGAGCTTTGCCTGCGAGGTTGGTCTGGAATTTGGCCATATCTGCAGGCACTTCTAGCTGCCGGCACTTTGTTTCTGCAGCAGTTTTTTTTTTTTTTTTTATCTTAAAGACAGATATCTTCTGTTTAAGCATATGGCCAAAGTAGGAAGCATACACCCCTTTTAAAACAATAAACCAAAAGCTAAATGAATCATTGGCATTTTAGTTATTTACATTCAAGACAGTAAAATAAATTCTAAGATTTATAAATGGAAACTGCATTCTTCAAATTATAACATTAGTTTAAGATCCTTTTAACATACAAATGTAACTTTATTAAAAATGAACCAGTGACAAATCTAATTAAGGCAACAATCAATTTGCCATTGTTATTGCTTTAATAATTTAATGTGGCAGTGTGCACATGCACCATTTCTTAAGTAACTTACTGTGTCTGTTTCTTCATCTGAGATGGGCTGGATCTGTGTGTTAGCGTGGAGAGGGGAATACACCCAGCTCTGTTCATCTGGAGGCTAAGCAATGCAAACCAGGTAAGGATGGAAGCACCAAGGAAAAAAGGAAAATAAATACAGGATATAGAAAAGTAATACAACAAATTAAATCACACATTTGTGGATTATACTGTAAACAAAAGTCTGCACTACCATGGATGAAAAGCTTTTAGAGAAATAGAGGGGGACCCAAAGAGAGAGATGGTGACAGAGAGAAGGAAGAGAAAGTGAGAGAAAGAGAGGGGGCAAAAATAGATAGGGTGGGCATAGAGAGAGGGAAGGAGAAAGAGAGAGGCAAAGGGTTAAAAGGGAAAAAGAAGAGTAGGAAGACCGAGAGATGGGGGGATAGTAAAAAAAAGAGAGAAGGGCAGAGGGCAGTGGTTTAGAGAGTAAATTACATTTTACTAATGGAAGACCTGACAGTCTCCCTATATGGTAGACAAGAGAGTTTTCATACAGTCTGGTTTGCGTGGATCAGTTACACCACCTCTCAAGATTACCAGGTGGCTATGACGTTATAGGTGGACTTACTTTTTAAAGCTCGCCCTTTATGTCTCATTTTTTAAGCCTCTTTTTCTACCTTCTTCTCTGTAACTTTCCCCCACCCCCCTTTTTCCCCTTTCCTATCCACTGATCCCCTCATACCCTCTCCTAAAGTTGACCTTTAGGAGAGGGTATGAGGGACACGTGGAAAAATTACATGCGATGCAACATGCCAATGTGGACCCTCTCTTTATGTAATATATGTATGATGTGGGGACATACTGTGATGTTGGTTTTCTGATTATGTACTGATGTTGAACCATACCATACATATGCATTGTGTTCTGTTCTCCTTGTGTTTTACATTAAAACAAAGAAATAACAATGACACCATGATAGCTATAGATTCAACTTTAGAATGTGTACAAGCAAGCAAAATTAGTCAGCCAACAATGACATTTATACAAACATAAAACATTGTTTGCACCAACTGTCAGGAAATGTCATATAATCATACACCTATATATTTATAAATAGGGTATTATTTTAATGACATTATGATAAATGTGTTTATACTGAACAAGAAACCTTGTTGTTTGGCAGTAGCTAACTCTAAAAATATATCTTATGTAATCTTGCTTCTCCTTTTTAAAAATTAAATGCATGTGAGTTTATATAAATATGTCCTGTATTTCAGCAGGATTTGTGAAATAATATGGTACATATATTTTTGGAGCTGACCATTAAAGGACATCATACTTACATTTACGATATTAAGTATAACAAGTATAAGAAACAAACATTTTTGATATACAAAAAGAAAAAAATTGCTTTAAACTGACCACATGGGCTTAAACTGAGTGAACACTGCATTGCTTCAATGCATTAGTAGTACTCACTCACAGAATCAATGGATGAAGTGGCAGAGTACATCTGACAGGGTTGGGGAGAATACACCCAATATCGCCCATCGGTGAACTGGTTGAAAGATGGGATGAACCAAACAAAGACATCACAAAGAATGAAGAGAATGAGAGAAAGTAATAAAAGTAGATGAACTGTCTCAAGAAACAGAGAAAGTGTGAAACAATTAGGACATATGTTAGGATATGTGAAAACTATTGATATTAATAAAAAAAACGTTCTCCTATAGGGACTAAGGTGGTCATTGGCAGAAGAAAAACACAATTATGTATACCACTGTTAAATAACACAACCATAAACCACAAAAAAAGTACAACTAACAATTTTTTGGTATTTGAATTTTTTTTTTTTTAAGTTTGGAATATGTGGAAACATTGCTGAAAGTTAGAATAGTATGCATATTTCAAACAAAGAAGAGGAACTGAATGCGGAGGAGAAAGATGTAGACACTATTCCGGTTCAGTCATCACTTGTGACAGAACCAGAAGGGCAAAATATGTTGAAAAATTACCAATATTCATAAGCTACTAAAAAAAAAAACCCAGCAGGCATCAGCCACAATTACTATGTTGGGTAAGATGAGAGAGCAACTTCATAAGCCTTGTCACAAAGAACAAATAGAGGAAAACAACATCACCAGTTTGCTGAGCTCATTTGAAGCATTTTAGCATAACCCATAAACCAAAATCCTTTACCACAAACAGAACAATTTCCCAAAAAATTAAGCTTTTTTTGAAAAAAGACAGAAGTAGCTGGATTGGAAAGTCAACTGACTCTCCAATCCAGCTACTTCTGTCTTTTTTCAAAAAGCTTCATTTTGTGGGGAAATTGTTCTGTTTATGTAGCCTGCAAGACAATGGGGGTAATAGCAGAGGTTTTTCAGTTTGCAAGGAGAACATCAAGTTGGTGTGTAACCTCAGGACCCACATTTATCCTCGGTTATTAAGTCGCGCTGCAATTCCGCACAGCATTGCGGTACTGGACGGGGAGGGAAAATGGCAAATTGGGCCCAATTTGGACATTTTCACTTAGGGTTGTACTCACTTTTGTTGCCAGCGGTTGAGACATTATTGGCTGTGTGTTGAGTTATTTTGAGGGGACAGCAAATGTACACAGATATACAAGCTGTACACTCACTACTTTACATTGTAGCAAAGTGTCATTTCTTCTGTGTCGTCACATGAAATTATATCATAAAATATTTACAAAAATGTGAGGGGTGTATTCACTTGTGTGAGATACTGTATGCGACTCACAGGGATACTACTGCCAGGAAGTAGATCAATGGGACAGTCGTAGGTCCGATGTAGTGGTAAAACATCTGCCTTCTTTTTGCTGAACACATCGGAGAAGTCCTGGTATGGTGGGGGTAACTGATCTGTCGACAGTTTAAGAATTGGATTGGTAGGGTAACATGTTTGAAGACAATATGAAGGCGTTAGTTCCAGTGAACTATTGTTCCATTGGAAAGCTGGTTGATGAAGTATCAGCCAAGGTAGTCCCAGAACAATGGGGAACAGAGGTGAAGGAATGACACCAAAGGTGATATATTCCACATGGTTGTCTGAAGTGGTCGTTAGTAATGGTTGGGTTTGATAAGCAATAACACCTGGCTCGATCGTATGAAGAGCCAGGGATTCATGAAATTATTAATTTCAGTTGTTTTTTTGTAAAAGAGTCCCATTCAGATTGTTTTTTGTCATCTATATTCTATTGGTGTTTCACTCAAATTTCCAATCCGTCTTAACCACCTTCCGTCCATGGCCATTTGTGAACGGCCGGACGGGAGTCTGCTAGGAGCGGGAGGACGTCTTAAGACGTCCTGCCCATTCCGCCTCTCGTGTGCGGCGCTCAGCGCGCACATGAGAGGGAAAACTGTGAGCATGCAGGTGAGACGCCCGATCGCTTGCAGGAGCTGTGGGTGTGCGCCCCCCCGTACCTATGTCCGCTGTCTCCTCGCCGCCGCTGCCGGTCCCGTAATCCGCTGTGGCCAGTGCAGCTGGGACCGGCACGGCGACGCTCTAACAGCAGAACAAAGGGAGATCATTACTCGATCTCCCTTTGATCTCTTTTCCTGTCCCCAAATGCAGGAAGTGATGTATATTACATCACTTCCTGCATTCAGTGTCACTCTCCGGTGCAGAACACCGGAGAGAAGCTGATGAAGCAGATCTCTGCTTCATCAGCTTCTGTGGGGGTCCCTAGGTGACATCAGAGGTCTTGGAGACCCCTGATGTCTCCATAAAGAGGACCTGTTTGGTGAACTGGCTATTACATAGGGGATTTTTTAGTCCCCTATGTGATAGCAATAAAGTTAAGTCTAAAAAAAAATAAAAATTAAAGCATAAAAAAATAAAGAAGCTAAAAAAATATTCACAAATAATAATAAAAAAACAACACAAAAAATGTTTTAAAGTCCCCCACCCTTCATACACACGCAAACATGCATCGGGTGCGCCTATGTACGAAAACCACGATTGCGCCCATTATGCAGCACGTTACATATCGCCGCAAACGTCGCAATGAGTGCAATAATTTTAGGGCCATCAATCACTGATAACACTAAACTGATGAGCGGTAAAAACTTTTAAAGCATCGCCTATGGCCAATTTTGGTTGCGGTCATTTTCTGCGATTTCGCGGGCGCGCGCAATTTTAAAGCTTGACATGTTTAGTATCTATTTACCCGACGTGACCCCGTCTTTTATATTGTACCAAAAAATTGGGGTGATAATAAATGTTTCATAACATTTTATAGGGAAACATGTTTTTTTTTCAAAATTTAGGGTACTTTTTTTGTTATATAGTAAAAAATAAAAACCCCAGTGGTAATTAAATACCACCAAAAGCAAGCTCTATCTGTCCCCAAAAAATGGTATGAAATTCGTTTCAGTACAGCGATGCATGACGGAATAAACGTCAGTCAAAGTACCGCAGCGCTGAATACTGAAAAATGGCCTGGTCAGGAAGGGGGTGAAACATCATGGTCTTCAAGTGGTTAAAAAATAGTCAATATTAAGCAGAAAAAAGAATTTACATAATGCAATTTTTTTAAAATGACAGTGTAGATTTATTTAATATTAATGATACAGTGTGTATTTTCCCATATTTGGTAACATATATTTATGGGATACAGTTTGGATTGGAATTCTGAGTGTAGGCACCGATTTAATTATTGTATAGCATTTGTAAGCATGATTACAAGTATTTAACTTTAAAATACATTGAGAAATGGATATATTATGTATCAGATTGTAAAAAATGGAGCGCAAGTCCAATAAGTGTTTATTGAAGGTTTTACACAAACAGACGTACATACATTCACAGAGCATAGCATCCCAACATGTTAGCTAGCCCGAAACAGCATGGATTTGTAAGAGAAGAACATGTTTCCTAACGTAGCATGTGACAATGGCATACCCAGGTGCAAGGCCCACTTAAGTTTTCACGTCAGTTCAGTAAATAAACAAGTATTAACATTCATGTCAGGAGCATTGCAATAATTCAGCCTCCATAACGGAAGCAATCATATTAACCAACATTAATGGAAGGGTACATTGGCCCATGCCAGCCATCTTATAGTATTGAAATACCAGTAGAGCAAGAGTATACAAT